TAGAATGCAGGGAAGTTTCAAATCTAGTATTAAGCGAAATGAAAGGAAAAATCCTGTGCCTCCGCGAGTCGATCAATCAAAATATGAAACTAGAAAATATGTAAAAAATACACCCCACGGCTGCATTTCATACTGCAGTTAACCGAAAATGCATCTTTTGTGATAATTTGCACGAGTCATTTAAATGCGAAGTGAATGTTTCTGATAAATTAAAGAAACTAAGATCCGAAAACCGCTGCTTTTCTTGTTTTAAAAAATTTCCATACATCAAAAAGGTGCAGAAATAAAACTAAATGTAATAAATGTGGCGGTATGTATCACAATGAATCGATTTGTACTAATAAATCCCTTGTAAACAAAAAGTCGGAACAAGGTTATTCCGAAAAATGAAACTGAATCTCTGACTTTGAATTCTGAGGAAAGAAATAAAGTTCAAAACTTAAAATTGATTGCTTCTGTTCCTCAAGGTGATAATAATAATGACTGTAATGCCAGGGAAATATTATTACAAACTTGTACAGTTTATGCTTGTTCTAAGTATAAATCAAAATTAACTAGATTAATTCTTGATCAAGGCAGTCACAGATCCTTTATAACGAAAAAATTGGCCGACCATTTAAAACTTACTCCAATCCGTTATGAAAGACTTTCTGTTTATTCATTTGGTGCGACGAAGGCAATGAATCATTCCTATCCGGTCGTTGAAATCGAAATTCAGAATTGGAAACAAAATAATAAAATAAAAATTGAATGTTTGATCTCGGATGTTATTTCCTCGGCGTCCATCAGTGTGCCTAGTAAACAAATTGCAGACTTCATGGAGCATATGGGGTTGCAGATCGCCGATTGCGCAAGAAAAAATAACATAGATGTTGAGATATTAATTGGGGGGGATGAATTCTGGAATGTAGTTTATTCTGAAAGAATTAAAATATCTGAAGGGTTGTACGCAGTCAGTTCTGTGTTTGGTTGGGTTGCCGCAGGAATCGAGAAAAATAAAACAAACAAAAATTGTTCTGAAAATTTAGCGGTAATGACAAACACTGTTGTGTTGAAAGATTTAAGAGGTTTTGGGGAATTAGAACATATGGGAATTAATGATTCTGACGATTATTCCGATATTGACTGCGAAATAGTAGACCAGTTTGAAAGAAATTTGCAGTTTAAAAAACGGAAGATATGAGGCAAATTTAATCTGGAAATACAGTCCGAATAATTTAGGAAATAATTTTGAGGTAGCTAAGAAACGATTCGCAAACCTTCACAATAAACTAAGTAAAACTCCGGAGATTTTTCAGGAATATAAAAATATAATTGAGAACCAGATATTAGAAGGAATTGTGGAGGAATGTCCAAATAATGATACAAATTTGGGATATTTTATGCCTCACCGAGCAGTGATACGACCTAGTGAAACTACTAAGGTAAGAATTGTGTACGATGCTAGCTCAAGGACAGAGGACACGAATTCGTTAAATGACTGCCTTGAATCGGGACCTAATCTAAATCCAAATATACTAGACATTATGTTAAATTTTCGTAAGTTTAAGATAGCGTTTTGTGGAGACGTTGAAAAAGCCTTTTTGATGATAGGAATTGCTGAAGGTGATAGAAAATTTCTAAAATTTCTTTGGTTTAATGAAAATAATGACTCCTTTAAGATTATGCAAATGTGTCGCGTAGCTTTCGGTTTGACTATATCTCCTTTCATTTTGGCCGCCACTATAAAATATCACATTCGAAAATATAAAGATAAAATGCCGGACAGTTTCCAAATGTTAAATTCTTCTGTCTATGTCGATGACCTATATTTTGGAGCAGGAACGGTTGAAGATGCATATCGGTTATCTGTAGATGCGGTTAATATATTTAAGGATGCTGGGATGAATTTCAGAAAATTAAGAACTAATTCTAAAGCATTAAACGATTTATGGGTCTCAGATGGGATTAAGGAATCAGACAACAAATTAGCTAGTGAATCGAATTTCTTAGGCATGATTTGGAATTCCATTGAAGACAATATAAAGTTAAATTTAAAAAAATTTAATTGACTTTTCTACTGGAAACGATTTTGCTACAAAAAGGAAACTTTTGCAAAGCATCGCCCAAATATACGATCCATTTGGATTTATTGCACCCTTTGTTATTCGGGCAAAAATTATTATGCAAGAAATCTGGTGTTCCGGTTCTGACTGGGATGAGGTCCTTCCTGCAGAGATTAAGGACAAATTCAACATTTGGCGGGAGGAACTTAATGATTTAACTGAAATATCGATACAGAGAAATTTCTTTGATGACGATCCAATGAATATAAGCCTTCACCTATTTTCGGACGCTAGTCCTAAAGCATATGGGGCCATCGCATATTTCAGATATTGTACGAGTGATTCTAAAATTAAAACTTCCTTTATCATGTCGAAATGCAGAGTTGCACCTTTAAGAGCAATCACGCTTCCTCGTTTAGAGTTAATGGGAGCACTCATGTGGCTGCTCGAATGTATAAATATTTGAAAAAATTGTTTGGTGATTTAATTGAGGATGTTTATTTTTGGAGTGATTCCGAAATCGCCATTACTTGGATTAAAGGTTCGCCAAATAATTGGAAACCATTTATCGCCAATCGTGTTACAGAAATACAGAGTATATGCAACAAAAAATTGTGGAACCATTGCGAAGGGAAAACAAAATCCTTCCGATTTACTAACTCGAGGAATTAGTGCTCAGTCACTAATTAAGAATGATCTGTGGTGGCATGGGCCACACTGGTTACGTTTTCCTACTGAAAACTTTCCAAAACAAAAGAAATTAAAACCAAATTCAGAATCGTTGGAGTTAAGAAAAAGTATTATTTTGACTGCACCTGTAATTAACAATGAATCCCCAATTTTGCATATAGAAAAATTCAGTTCTTTAGGAAAATTACTTCGAATTACTGCCTATGTATTTAGATTTATTGGGAGGCTTCGGAAAAGGTCTACAGAGAATGGACCTTTAAGTGCTTTTGAGATTAAAGCAGCTGAACATTATTGGGTAAAAATTACGCAACGAGAATCGTATCAAGCGGAAATAATTAAGTTATCAAATAAAAAATCAATTCTCGATTCTTCCATCTACTCCCTTAATCCAAGGCTTGATGAGGAGGGAATTCTTCGGTTGAAAGGTCGCATTCAATTTGCAGACTGTCACGAGAATTTAAAACATCCTATTCTATTACCCTCAAAATGCAAGTTTACCGAGTTGATCATCATGGACTCGCATGAAAGGGTATTCCATGCTGGAGTTAATTCGACACTAACTCAGATCAGAGACAAATATTGGATCATTAAGGGAAGACAGCGTGTTAAGACTATCATCAGCAAAATGTGTGATATGCAAACGATATAGTGCTCGTCCTGGGGTACAGGATATCGCTCCACTTCCTCCAGACAGAATCCAAGAGTCGCCTCCATTTGCTGTGACCGGGTTGGACTTCGCCGGTCCATTTTTTACGAAAGACAGGCAAGGTAAAGTTTACATGCTGTTGTTAACGTGTGCGGTCACTCGTGCCTTACATATAGAGATAGTAACTGATCTCAGCACTGAAAGTTTTTTGCTAGCTTTCCGAAGATTTTTAGCTCGCCGAGGACTGTGTACCACCGTGTACTCCGATAATGCCAAGACTTTTAAAAGAGCTGATAAAGAACTAAAACATATTTTTAAAACTTTGAGTGACTTCATCTGTGAAAGAATTATTTTCTGCTAGAGGCATAAATTGGAAATTTATTATTGAGAGGGGTCCATGGTGGGGAGGGTTTTGGGAGCGTATGGTACGAACCATAAAATCCAGCTTGCGAAAAATTATTGGTCGATCATCCCTTACTGTGAAAGAGCTTGAAACAGTGCTCATTGAAATCGAGGCAATGATTAATTGTAGACCAATTACCTACGTGTTTACCGATCCCAATGAACCTTCTCCACTAACACCCTCTCATTTTCTGGTTGGTAGACGATTGCTATCTCTGCCTGCTAATAAAATAACATCAAATAATTTGATTGGGTCAAGAAATTCAATTATTAAACGATATAAATACCATCAAGATATTTTAAATCATTTTTGGAAGCGTTGGAGATCAGAGTATCTTTTTAATCTGAGATCTGCCAATATTTGTCCTCCACATTCTAACGCATCTCAGTTTAAAATCAATGATATTGTTTTGATTCATGACGATAAACATCCCAGGAATCTCTGGACAATAGGTAAAATTTTGGAATTAATGCCAGGCAGAGATGGTAAAATAAGATCTTGCATAGTTAAAACACCTACTGGTACCTTAAAAAGGCCTATACAATCCTATACAATTGTTATATAATATGGAACTTAACTAATGTTTGTATTTTGTATTTTTAAGTTTGATTCTCCTAACCTTGCTGATAGGTATCATTTAATGTTTTGTAAAATTTTATGTGCTTATAATTATGTATGCATGTTTGTTATATTTAACCATTTCTCCAGGATTTATTGTCGAAATATTAATTGAATATTCTAGAATATATTATTGAAAGATGAACTCTCCACCGAGTTCAGGTGGGGAGTGTTGTGTAATTTGAAGAAAAAGGCTAGAGGGCGCTGTTGCTCGCTTAGTTGTAAGAGAATAAAGTTTGTTCATGTTGAAGGCGGCGGCCTAAGAATACGCTCTGTATATAGTAATTAAAATATTGTTAAAAATGTAAAAGTGTTAAAATAGTAACACGAACCACATTATAATTTGAAAGATGCACATATTATTAGATAGGCATACCCTCGGTGATTGCCTAAAAATAAAAAACCAAAAAGCAATAGTCATTGCTAAATCTTAATGTTGGTGCAAAATCTTGCCTGAATTAGTAATGTCAACCCTAACTATAAATTTTGATTGCTTTTTGAAAATTTAATCATGTGTGAATATTTGAGAAACATATTAAGAGTTGCAGTGCACAGTTCCATCAAACCAGTTTTTGATTTATAATCCTTTCTTCTCCAGGCCTGATCATAGGCTGCTGTGCTCCTTTGGTGCTTCATTAGCTCTGCACCATAGCTTCATTTTGTTAAGAACACTTTCACTATGGATAACGCCTGTTGCTTTGTTGCCATGATGGTAAAGAAGCTGGCTGCCATTGCTTGGGTCTGTGTTGAATCCTTGAAAAGGCATGAATATTTGGTTGTGTATAGTGACTTTTTGACATGGGCACTTAAACACTGTCAATCTGAAAGTCCTTTTAAGATACTGATGATAAGTAAAGAGGGATAAGAGACTCTTGGATCATTTCATTGTGGTGTTCTTCGTCAAAATCGATATGGTGATGGATAAAAGTTGAAATCTTACCTCTTTTGGTATCCAAGTCCCTGGCTAATAAAGGTATTTACTGCTTCTATTGGCTCTGAATCCAAATTAATCTTTATTTTAACAACTCCATTTCATCAAATAATGTCAATCCGCATTTTAAATCAAAAATAATCTTTATTTCGTTTTTAGCAAATGTAAACTCTTTAGAATAATATCATTAATAATCTTTTGTTGCCATTCCAAGAACAACAAAAATTGAATAATCATTCTGTTGCCATTCTGAAAACAACAAAAAACAAATAAAACACTATTAATCAGTATTTAAAGTTTCTGTATAAGCTCAAGCCACAACAGTACTTCTTTCCCAGTAACTAAGTTGCGGTAGAGCATATTACCTTTAAAACACACTATTTACAAAAAAGAAATATTATTGATACATATAAATGCTAATCTTGAAATCGCACAGGTTTTTTTTTTTTTTTTTTTTTTTTTTTTTTTTTTTTTTTTTTTTTTTTTTGTCTGCCCTACACTTGATTGTTTTGCAGGAAACTTGTTAATTTTAGAAGGTAAGTCTATTAGAGGTTTGACAGGTTGTCTGTCTCATGGACGTTGTTGGTTGCTTCGTAGTAATGTCTGGTGTTTGCAATAAATATGCAGGCTTTAATCTATCAGTAGACACTGTAACATCTTTGTGATTAATTTTTACTGTAAAATATTTTTCTTTTCTGTCAACCACTTGAAAAAGACCATCGTAAGGGGGTTCTAATTACTTTTTAACTCTGTCTGTGCAAATAAACACATGCGATGTTGTTTTCAAGTTTTTAGGGACAAATATTTTTTGGACATATTTATCGGAATCTGTTCTTGGTCCCATTTTTTTTCATAGTTTCTTTTACCTGCTTGACAAAAATATCAGGTGGTCTTGGAGTTGTGCTATTATGGAAAAATTCTTCAGGTAATCATATATTTTGTCCATAAACCATTTGAGCAATGGTATATGCAGAGTCTTCCTGCATAGCTGTGCGTAAGCCAAGAAGAACAGTTGGAAGTGTTTCAGTCCAGGTCAGGCTATTGTGGTCCATAAGTGCACTCTTGAGAGATCTATGGAGGCGCTCTACTTTCCCATTTGCTTGGGTGTGGTAAGCTGTTGTTGTATGTTGTAATTTTATTCCACACATTTTTGATAGGTTGTTGAACAATTCTGAACTAAATTGCGGTCTACGATCTGTGACTAGGCAACATGGCGTCCCAAATCTTGAAATCCAATTAGAATAAAATTCTTTAGCTACTGTGTCTGCTGAATGTTGTTAAGTGGAATCACTTCCATCCAGTTAGAGTACGGGTCAATGCAAGTGAGACAGTAAATATTCCCATTTGACGGTAGTAGGGGTCCAATAAGATCAATATGCATGTCACAAAATCATTTTGAAGGCAGTTAAAAAACACCGAAACTTGATTTTGTATGTTGATTAATTTTACTTCTTTGGCAAGCCATGCAAGATCGAGTCCAAAGCTGTACATCTTTACGGATACTTGGCCAAATAAATTTAGACAATAAGAGTTTTACAGATGACTTAATGCCAGGATGGGCTATGTTATGCATTTGATAAAATATTTTCTTGCAATAACTGTCTCGTCTTATATTATTCGTTGAAGTTTCACACCACAAAGACTTCCCAGAAGGTAGTGGATACTGCTTGAAGTTCAGGGAAATTGCTGATGTCTTCAAATCTTGCAATTCTTTATCCATAATTTGTTCATCTGCAATTTTGTCATAGTTGATCAAAGAAATTTCTTCAATTTTAGATAAAGTATCTGCAACGGTGTTGTCTCGACCTTCTACGTGCTGTATATCAGTTGAAAATTGAGAGATGTACTGAAATGTCTAAGTAGACGAGGTGATGCTTTTTCTGGCTTTTGTTTAAATGCAGAGATTATGTGTTTATGGTCTGTGAATATTGTAAATGTTCTTCCTTCCAGTAAAAATTTGAAGTGCTTGACGGAGCGGTTAAATTCCTAGTAACTCTCTATCGTAAGTACTGTAATGCTTTTATGATTCGTTTAGTTTTTTTGGAATAAAATGCAACAGGTTTCCATCCGTTATCTTCAAATTGTTGAAGTACCGCTCCAATCGCTTGAGTCTGAAGCGTCTGTATATAATGACAGAGGTAGTTCATGATTCGGGAATGATAAGAGTGTTGTATTGACTAAATCATCTTTGCATCGTTCTGAAATTGTTCCTTAGCTTCATCGGTCCACTGAATTTTCCGTTTATCTTTTTTTTTGGGCTCCTTTTAAGGTAGTCATGTAGGAGAGATTGGTTTTTTGATGCATTTTTTAAATATTGCCAATAAAAATTAATAAGGCCTAAGAATGTTCTGAGCTTCGTTGAATGGTTGTTAGGAAGCTTTGTAATTAACAATAGTTTGGACTTTCTCAGGCAAAGGTCGTGATCCTTGAAGGAGTAATTAAATAACCCAAGAATTCTAATTTCTTGTGTGCCAAAGATGGATTTGGAAATGTTAATGCGGAGTCCATAGGCATTTAATCTCTAAAACACAAGCTTCAAATGGATTTTGTGTTGTTCTTCACTAGCAGATGCTATCAGAATGGCATCTAAGTATGGAAAAGCGAAATTTAGACCAGAAAGAACTGTATTTATTCCAAAAGGAGTAATAATAGTAGTTTTACATCTGTCTTCTTCGACAATGGGCATTTGATAGTAGGCTTTAAATAAATCTATTTTGGAATAAATATTCGTATCTTTTTAAAATATGATGTAAATCCTCTATCCTAGGAATATTATATCTATCAGGAACTGTTCTATCATTTAGCTGTCTATAATCTCCACATGGGCGAAGAGTACCATCTCTTTTTAGCACCACATGCAGAGGACTTGCCCATTGAGAACTCGAGAGTCTTATTATGTTATTGTCCAACATGAATTGGAACTCTTGCTTAAGTACTGCAAGCTTTCGAGGATCCAACTGTCTTGCACAGGTTGACTATGTGTTATGATATGATGTTGAACATTATGTTTTAAATCTGATAAGAATAAATTTGGTTTGCATAAGTCTGGGTATTGTTTTAGAAGAGTATTAAATTTTGTTGAATGGGTTACTGTAACGATATCACTATTTTCACTGATCGAAGCAGCTTCACCAGTTACTTTTAGTTGAGTTACTCCATCAATCAGTTTTGCCATGTAAATCAATTATTAATTTAAATTTGTTAAGGAAATCAGATCCTAAAATTCTTTTATTAATTTTGACTACTATAAATGGAAATTGGAATTCACGCCTAAGTCCTGAATCGAGTGTTAACTATTTTATACCATATGTTTCGATTTCGGTACCATTTGCTGCATACAACTTGAAATCCGTGGATTGTTTGTCTTGTGCTGATGTAGGTAATATGCTAACATCTGCACCGCTATCTAACTAAGAAACGCACTTTTGACTTTTTATCTCTGATAAATAGGCGAAATTGGCGACATTCTTTAATAATATCGGCAGTAGAGCTTGCCACCTCTTCTACTGCACATTGTCATTTCCCTGATTGGATGACTTATCACTTGACCAACTTTACGGTTGAGTACATTTATCTTGATGACACTTGTTACCGAAATGGAAATGATAAAACAATATTTTCCTTTAGGATTAAATCTTTTCCTAGAAGTACTGCAAGATCGTCTGCGGGATATAGAGTTGTTTTCTAAATCGTGGTCTCGATATATGATGAACAGTCATTTCGACAATTCACTGTTCAAGGGGTTGTATTTTCATTAACAGTTCTGTATTCGAGCAATTACCAGCTGTTAATACACCACAAATCTCTTTAGAAGGCGTCATATCAGAAATTTTATCAGCCATGATCGCCAACTTGGGTAATTCTTCGTCACTAACAAGTATTATATTATGCATAGAATCCGGCAATTTCTCTAACCATAACGTTTTAATTAAATTTTCAGACACATCCGATGTTGCAACAGATTTTAATTTTTGTAATAATTGACTACATTTCAAGTTGCTTAAATCGATTCCTGTAAGAAGTTTTTTAATTCTAGTACTTTCACTTTTCTTAAATAAATCCAGAAGCCTTGTTTTGAATTCTGTATGTTTAGTAGCGAAATTACTGGTTACAATATCACAGATGTTCTCAACATATTTTGGTTCTAACTGTGATACTAAATAGTTAAATTTCGTTTCTTCCGAAATAATTCCATTTATCTTAAACTGAGCCTCAACTTGAAAAAAAACCATATTTCTGGGGGATCCAACCAAAATGGAGGAATTTTGACACTTACCTTACACAGTTCATGTGCAGGATCCGTGACAGCTTTATCATCTTCAGACATTTTTACTTTAAAATCGAAAGTCCAAGTCACCAGGTATTGGCTTTGACTCCAAATTAATCTTTATTTTTACAACTTCGTTTCATCAAATAACGTCAATCCACATTTTAAATCAAAAATAATCTTTATTTCGTTTTTAGCAAATGTAAACAACTCTTTAGAACAATATCATCAATAATCTTTTGTTGCTATTCCAAGAACAACAAAAATTGAATAATCATTTTGTTGCCATTCTGAAAAAAAAAACAAAAAACAAATAAAATGCTATTAATCAGTATTTAAAGTTTCTGTATAAGTTCAAGCCACAACACTTCTTGGTTGTGATGAATTCATAACCGTCATCAAGATCCTCTAAGATCAGGAGGATAAGAAACAACATGAGTAATGCCTTGTATTTGAAAGACAGACTCTTCATCATCTGGCATCTTCTATGTTACAAAATCTCTTTCACATTTTTTCATCAAAATTTTGCACAAAAACATATATCTAGATCAACATATAATGAGTAATAATGTTTGGCATAGTTCACAGTGTAACTCTGCTGTCATAGGTTAACTTGCATCTTGACTGCTGCTTCATTAATGGCAGAGTACCAAAATTCCAAATACTACAATATTGCTGGGAAAAAATTACATATATATATATATTCACACGTATTTGTAGTATAGTAAATGTTGTACATACACATGTTCAAAATATATAATATATGCAATGTAAATTCAACTTCAGATTCATAAATCATTTTTATGTTTATCTGTTTCTAAAAGTACTTTAGACCATATAATTGTTGTATCTTGTGGTGTGGGTTCAGTGAAGTGCATGACGCAACCAAACAGACTAGTTCACGGCACAAACATTTATTTCTAACTCATAAGACAGCAGCGATGCGCTATTTACGCAGTTACATTACATTCTCCTCTACTCTCGTTCACAGAGGTTCTCAGGTATAAGAGTACTGATACTCTCGAAATCAGATGCTACATCCCTCCCCACTTATTTAGAGATTTAATCTCTGAGGAGCTTTGCGGATGCGCGAAGATCGTCTAAGTCCTGGCTGGGGTTGCTGCAACTCTTTATCAGGATTCACTGGAATGACTGGCTCAGTTTTCCTTGGAACTGACGATGTTTCAAGTCCGGCTGAAGTTTGCACAGCTTCACTTCTTTGTTCGATGTCCTTGTCCGGAGCCTGTGGCTTCACGTTGCCATCTGAAGTAGCAGCCATACGAGGTTCATAGATTACCGGTGCAGACGGAACCTCGCTCCCTACCGATCTGATCTGATCGACGTGCCGGCGCAGTAAAGTTCCTTGAACGTCAATGGTATAATGCAGCGCTCCATCCTTATTTGTCACTCTGCCAATTTTCCATCGGGAATTTGCCGATCTATAATCCCGAATGGCAACCTTTTCTCCGATCTCAAAATTTCTGTCTTTGAAATCATAAGTATTCCTTCGGATGTGTTCTTCCACTCTTTCGTCTAAGATTTGGAACAACTAAATCAATTCGAGTTCTAATTTCTCTTTTTAAGAATAACATTGCTGGACTTAACAAGGTTGTCAAGTTCGGTGCATTTCTATAATTCATGAGGAATATGGCAAGTTTTTTGCTTAATATTTCCTGGATAACCTTGCATTGCACGTAATGCTTGTTTAACGGTGTAAACGTACCGCTCTGCTTGCCCGTTACTTGCTGGTTTAAATGGAGCACACGTTTTGTGTTTAATTCCATTATTCCTTATAAAAGTTTCAAATTCCCCCGATGTGAACTGAGGACCATTGTCACTCACTACTACTAAAGGCAGTCCGTATCTTGCAAAACAGTCTCTCAAACATTCAATTGTCTGAAAGGAATTTGTTGACTTTAAGGTATACACTTCTAGCCATTTAGAATGTGCGTCAATGATAATCAAGAACATTCGTTCAAAAATAGGGCCTGCAAAATCTACGTGAATGCGTTCCCAAGGCGCACTTGGATATTCCCAGTGATGGACCCTTGCCCTTACTGGATCTGATTTGAACTTAATACAATCGACACAGTTCCTCGAAACTTCTTCAATATCATGATCAATTCCCTTCCAAAAGACGTAGGATCTGGCGATTGCCTTCATTTTAACGATTCCTAAATGTCCTTGGTGTAACTCTTCGAGAATTTTAACTCGGAGTTTTTTCGGAACAACTACCCTCTGACCACTCATTATACAGTCATCTTGTAAGGTGTACTCTGCTTCCCTACCTTCCAAACTTTCTCCAGATTTTAATTTCATATAAAGACTATTTAATTCTTCATCAGCTCGCGTTTCCCGAGCTATCTCCCTAGCTGTTACCGGAAGAGTTTCAATTTGGGAGAGTTGGAATATTTCAACATCATCCTTAATGCTTAAATCTTCGGACTTAAGAGGCAGGCGCGACAGGCAGTCAGCATTACCGTGTTCCTTGGTATTTCGATACACAATATCAAACTGATATGCCTGCAATATCAGTGCATAATGTAAAAGTCGGGTGGCTGTGAGGATAGGAAGTCCTCTTTTCGATTTGAAAATAGCCACTAAAGGTTTATGATCTGTCACCAGAGAAAAATCGTCTCCCCCCTTTAGATATAGATAAAACAGCCCAAACAATTGACAGTGCTTCTTTATCGATTTGGGCGTATTTCTGCTCTGTGTTAGTCAGTGTCCTCGATGCGAATGCTATAGGCCTTTCTGTTCCATCAGACAAAACATGCGAGAGCACTGCCCCAAGACCTACCGGAGATGCATCAGTAGCTAGCATTAACGGTAATGTGGGATCGTAATGCATTCTGTCTGAACAAATTTCCTTTTTTTCCTTTTTAATTTTTTTTTTCAAAAGCGATTTGGCAGTTTTTTGACCAACTCCATTTAACATCTTTTTTTGTTAAATTATTTAAGGGATGTGCCAAAGTTGCCAAATTAGGGCAAAATTTGGCATAAAAATTCACTAATCCCAAAAAGCTTTTGATGTCTTGGACGCCTTTCGGCGTAGGGGCATTAGCAATTGCCGAAATCTTTTCATCCGTTTTATGCAATCCATCGGCATCAATTTTATGCCCTAAAAATTTAATCTCATTTTGAAAAAATTTACTTTTAGTTAAGTTTAATTTTAGGCCGTGCTCCTTGCATTTTTTGAAAAATATTTCCAATGCTTTTAAATGAGACTGATCATCCGGTCCTGTCACTCGAGCATCATCCATAAAAATTTTAATTCCTTCGATCCCCTGAAATAATCCCTCAACATAGCGCTGCTGCCAAATAGCTGGGGCAGCATTTAATCCATACATTAAGCGTTTACAAATATACAACCCCTTATGCGTGTTTATTGTTAATAATCGTTGTTGCTCTCCGGATGCACCTTCATTTGTAGATAAGCATGACTGAAATCAAGTTTCGAAAAATTTTTACCTCCATTAAGGCATGAAAATATTTCTTCGAGTTTTGGTAATGGATGCTGTGGCACTTCCAAATTAGGATTCAGAGTCACAGAATAATCAGCACAAAGCCTAATGGAACCATCAGATTTAACAATTGGCACAACTGGTGTTGCCCATTCTGAAGTCTCAACCCTCTCAATGATACCTTCTTTCTCAAGCCGATCAATTTCTGATTCAACTCTATTTTTTAATGCGAAAGGTACCGGTCGTGACCTACAAAATATTGGTTGAGTATTAGGTTTCAAATTTAGTTTTACTTCGTGATTGTTAATTTCACCTAATTTACCGTCAAAAATTTCCTTATACTCCTCCTCAAGCAATTTTTTTTTAAATTCAATTCACTAGAAGTTTTCAATGTTTTGATGGCATTCCAATCGAGAGATTGATTTTATACAGCAGCCATTCTCGGCCGAAGATTGTGTCCAAATTTTCCTTCACAATGTATAAATTTAAAACTAATTTTTGACCTTGGTATTCAACTTTAACAGGAACATATCCTAAAGGTACCACCTTATCACCCCTGTAAGTTTTAAAAACTAAATTTGTAGGCTGAATCTTTTTATTGGAAATTTTTTCTAAATTTATTTATAGACATTACCGAAACTGTTCCCCCAGTATCAAGTTCCATGCTAACTGGTTTGTTTTCAATTTTAACTTGAACCATTATTGGCGGTCTTTTCGGCTCTTTCCTCTCTTCTTAACATGTACGTTCTGGAGCTGAATCCATAGATGGGGACCTCATTTTTCGAATCATAATCATTATTTGCCTCAACTTTCTTTTGTTTAACCTGTCGGTTTTTCCTAGACAAATAACACGCCCTTTCGATATGTCCAATTTTTTTACAAAAGCGGCATTCACTTGTTGCAAATCTACAGTTGTTTTTATTGTGATTTGCTCCTAAGCAACGCAAACAAGTTTCATTTTTACCTTTATTATTCTTAGCAACAAAGTTTTGTTTCCGCGGTTTGGACTCATTTTTCTTGGTTTTAAGTACTTTCAGTTCTACGGAATTTCCTATAATCTCATTTGCACCTTAACCTAACCGCCTTTTCCATCGCCAAGGCTATCTTTAATGTTTTCTCTAAATCGATATCATCTTCCTGAAATAATCGATCTAAGATATTACGATCTCGTAGACCGCTAACGAAAACATCCCTTAACATTGTATTTAGCATATCCTCTTTATATTCACAAGGAATCGCTAACGAGCGTAATTCAGTGACATAACTACTAATTGATTCCCCCTCATGCTGTTTTCTATTAATAAACATGTGCCGACTAGGTATTATTAAAGCTTTAGGATTTAAATGATCCTTAAGAACCTTTTTTAGTTCGGTAAAATTTTTATCTGAAGGATTATCCGGAGAGAGTAAATTTTTCAACAAATTATACAATTTCGCATTCAAGCTTGAGATCAGAACTTTCCCACGTTTTGCCTCTGGAACATTTTGAATGTCCAAAAAAGCCTCAAATCGTTCTATGAACGAATCAAAATTTTCTACTACCGTTTCATCGAAATTATCAAAAGAAACAGAAATTTTGTCTTGTTTATGTTCCGATTTCTCTTGCAATGCGACCATTAAAGCTTCATTCTGCTTTATTAATTCTTCAATTAACTTCTCCATCCTTTCAAAATAAAAATCAAATAACTTTCCTACCTTTTGCAGTTTTCGGGGAATCCCCTAATCCAAGTTTCGGTTTTGCTACTACTTACGCATGTAACCGAGTGCGCCGAGTCGGGAACGATTTTCTTCTCACACACCTCGTCGCCAACTTGTTGTGTCTAGCGGTGTGGGTTCAGTGAAGTGCATGACGCAACCAAAACAGACTAGTTCACGGCACAAACATTTATTTCTAACTAACTCATAAGACAGCAGCGATGCGCTATTTACGCAGTTACATTACATTCTCCTCTACTCTCGTTCACAGAGGTTCTCAGGTATAAGAGTACTGATACTCTCGAAATCAGATGCTACAGTAAACTTCATAAGTTCTTTTATTTAATTAACACATACAGGGAGTAAACACTTATTGTATACTTACTTGAATGATAGCAATAATAATATATATTAATTGAAGTAAAATTTTAAAATTATTATTAAGAATGAAGCGATTAGTGTCAAGAAAAATACCAGAGACACCTGAATTTTATAGAAGCAAAGTTAATGAAGATTCTTTGCTATCCACAAGATTCTGCGAACATAGAATGGAATCAGAACCATGTTTTAACTTGGGCATTTGGAATTACTTTAATATAATTTTAAAGAGCAAAGGGTTTGGAAAATATGTTTGAGGTGACATGAGATACACACATTCTTGCTATTCTCATTTAACATAAACATGATTGGTTTTTTGATTTGATTTAAATAATATGAAGATATATTTTGCAATGAATACTCTTAAAAAAGTTGTTAGTTTAATCTAAATAAATCTGTACGGAGCTGTACCGTTTTGGGCCAAATCAGGCACTTGCCAGTTATGAGGCTCAAATACTGCATAAATAAGGATTTGGAAGGTAATAAAAATATTTAGGAGAAGCAGTTATGAGATTATTTTCAGATATTAAAATCTAATGGCAAGGCTCTGATGCTATACTTTCTTTAAAATATGTCTTTTTTCTTTAAACTGGACTTTCTTTAGGATTTTCATTTTTTTAAATTAAAATCAGAAATGATTTCAGACTGTAAAGTGTCAAAAAGTATCAATTAATATTTTAGTAATGATTTTATTGTTTTGTTACTTGACAGGAATTAAAGAAATATTTTCTTTGGTATACTTTTAATTGTAGAGAAATAGATTTTATGATGTTTTTTAATATAAAAAATAGTTTTCTATTTACTTTAACACAGTAAGTATGAAAACACGTTTATGCCTCTCATTTTAGAATCTACGCAGTTAAAACTGAATTTCATTTACGTACTTTAGTTCAAATGGAAACTGGCTGTATTTATGAAAATAAAAGTAATTCCATTATGTAATTTTATAGGAATAAGTTTACAAATTTTGTTAAAATTAAAAGTAACGAAAATATAAAACTCCCCCTTTTACATTAAAAGACATATTTGTATATCCTACAGTAAAAGGTAGTGAAATTATATGGAATTTTCAAATCCTTTAATTGATTATCCAAGAATTGGCTTTCTGCTATAAACAAATTTCCCAAGAAATTTGTTTGTTTAAAGTGCCAAAGTCTGTTCCAATAAAAAGAATTCCATGAAATTATATTTTACCTTAAAATAAATTTTTCTTTACTTAGATAGTGGCAAAGACTTCACTTTAATGATTCAATGTATTATAATATGCAAATTTCCAAGTTATCACAATGAAATTTTGAAATAGATGTTATTAGGTTAGCTAATTAAATTAGAGGGTTAGATGAAATTTTCAATGACAAAATAAAATATCCTGTTTGCAGAAATGAAATTGATTAATTTCAAATAAAATTATTCTTTTCAATAAAGTTATCGATGTGGCTTAAATATGCATTTCGATTTATAGTAATTTTCTCTAAATTTTAAAATTTTCTGCAATAGGTTAAATTTTCTTAAAATATAGTTTGAAATTCAGTTTCTTTATAAAAAAGCAACTTGTACTTTTGGAAACAAATTAATTTTGGAAACAAATTAATATTCATTTACACTCTTTTGTCACAAGTCAGATTTTAACTTCCTTCATATGCGAGTAACGATGAGATGTAATTTCCTTATTTTCATTTTGTTATCATTTAAGTAATTTATGTATCTATTTAAAAAATTAATTTGCTAAAGATATTCTCTTAATCTCTCAAGTTAGAAATACTGCATAGTTGGTTTTCATGTTTTTCTTAATATGTAAAAAGAATATGAGCAATTTTTGCTTAGAAAGTCCTCCACAAAGGCATCCCTTCTCTTAAGTAGACAGCCCTTGTGTGTTTTGCCATATTCAAGTAGCCTAACCTTAACTAAGAAATATTTTTATCTAATTAAATCTCTTAATAAGGAGATTGGGTTACTTTAACAACACAAATATATAATATATAAGAGCATGACATAATTTATAGGAAGGAAAAATGTAATATTTTAAAAAATCATCTCAGAAATTTACATAAAGCAAACGTGTAGAAGAGTTCAGGGTTTTAAAATAATACACCATTTGTAAAGTTATAATAATTAAAAAAACTTATTATATGTAACTAGAGCCTGGTTATGGAAGTGTGGCATCATTTGTAGTGTGATGCTAAGTACCACGCAGAGAAGTAAGTTATTATTTTGTGAAATTAATTTTGAAAAATAGCAGAGCATGATGAAAGTACTGCAATAAAATGCGTAAAATAAATTCCTTTTTCATATTACCTTTTAGTATTAAAAAAACAACAAAGAGGGAATTATATCTACCAAATAAAGACTCCCTAAATTAAAGTATCTAAGTTGTGAGACCAAAATGAGAGTAAACTTTTGATGATGCCCTTGCTTCTACACTTTTGATAGTACAAATAAAAGTTAATCAATTTTCAATTATTTCTTTGTGTTGCATTTAAATTATGCTTTCATCATTATATGTTAATTTATTATTGGTATCATTCACATCAATATACAGTAAACAGTGCTTACCTGAAAATTTAAGCAGTGATGATATGTTCGCTAGCAGAAGGAACAGAACTTAAAAAAATAGTGGCGAAAATTCTCAAGATAAACGCCATACTAATTGATCAGCCTCTCTTGACAATACTCAATATGGTAGGATGTGTATGCATTCATCATAGAATATAGTTCCACGATTTCTTTTTGTTCACACTAAGTAAAAATACGCTATAAGCTATCAATATTTTAAATAGAAAATAAATAACTAAAATAGCAGGCTATTATAGCATAAAAGATAATTTATTTAAAAAGTTTTATTGAAATATTTAACAATGAATTGAGCAAGATCAGGGTGGGATAGACTGAGAAATTTCTTCTGATCACATTAACTGTTTGCTGTAACATGTATATGACATCTGTGCAACATCTGCATAATAATGTGACGTTGTACCATGGTCATAAATGTAACGTGACAAAAATGTAACATTGGAATGTCACTGAAACATCAGAGCAACGAAGTGCGTTATATGGTAAGTAACTTCATTTTCAATCGCAGCCATTGTACTTTTTTTAGAATAATTCCATTCATATTAATTCTCCACAAATAACTGGGAACTCATTTAAATCATCTGAATCATGGACTTCAGCCATCATTTCAAGAATTTGTGTGTATATGTGTAATAACATATTTAGATTTCTATAGTTTAATTTACATAATAGTATCACATGGCAGAGCATAGACTCAAAAATATTTTCACAGAAAGTTGTAGAATACTGATTACTACTGCCACTTATACAGAAATATTAATATTGCCACCACTTGTAAATAATTAAATAAACAGAAGCTGCCCCTCAACATTCTGTTCATGGTTTTTTAAACTTTCTAATCAAGGTTTAATGTTGCCATGTTGAACTGTTGTGCTTACAATGCATTTAGAAATAATGCAGTATGAGTATACAGTACAAACCATTAGTTAATTTATTTCCTTGGTGGCTGTAACATTTGATTACAGAAGTGAAAACTATGGAATACAGTACAAAGTCCGAAATCCGGATATCCAATATCCGGAATGATGTAAAATCCAGACCTCAAAACCACCAACTTTTTTCTGTAGGCTTTACGCATGCTCATTTGATTCTCCCTCCGCGCATAATAAAACATCTGGAGAGTCCCGATTCTTAATTTCACTTCAACACTAAATAAAATACGTTGTATTGAAGAAACAATAATTTAGCATAAATTTGTACAATCAGTAATTTTGCTCCTTTCTTGTGTATCTGCTTGGCACACATTTCAAACCGAAACATTCCACATAGATACATCGTTGATCTGACGCCAACCTGCTGAATCATTCTTTATTATACTTTCCTTTCATCACACCGCATGTTTATCAACACATGACAACTTGAGTAATGACTCATGTAGCGATGCCTAAAAAATTTTTGTATGTTGGTAATTGAATAATAAAGGAGTATGGTAATTTTTTATGTTGACATCACGCTTGGCGATGATTACATATTTAAGTTAAATGCGCTAAAAAATATTGACGAGGAAAAATTTACCAAAAATTTCTTTCTATATGCTAAAATAGATTTTGTTGATGATACTCATAGACCCAAAGATTACATTTAGGGCTATTTGAATTAAGACTACCTTATTTGTTATTCACATAAACCCAGAACCAGCACCAGGGCTCGTATGGCCGCACCGAGTTGCAGAATTTAGGACCCACAGAGGTAGTAAGATATTTAGCACTGGCCCTCAATAAGGCTTAAGTATCTGTGGGAATTTATTTATTCAGAACTCTGATAAGCCTTAAGCATGTGTAAGAAATAGACATAAGTATAATAAATAACTAAACTAATACAATTTAGGCTTAATTGTCGCAGTTCACTATAGAAGCAAGATAAAATTTAACGGAACAACTTGTCGTAAGTCGCGAAGCTCATGATGCATAGCCAAATATGTATAGTGAATGATAGCTAAATTTCATGATGATAGCTGCGAATTTTAAATGTTTTCGGATATCGCAAAACAAAGATGAAATTTTCCAATTAATGGATTTTGTAAAGAAATGTAGAGAAGCGGTAATAAATGAAGATGATATAAAAAAGTTTTTCATTGTGATGACAGTGCTTCTCAATCATCAATCAATTAATTATTGGGGAAATCTGTATTATGGTTCTAAATTCAGAAATACCGCAACCGATAGTGAAGAAAGTGACAGAGACGTTACTGAAAACGAAAAAATTTCGATTGACAAGTTAGTCGGAATTCTCTAAACAGCATTTACAGGACTTCAACAATGTAACTAAACAAAAGATTCTGTCTGTCTACAGAATTAAAGAGAAAGTATTAGCACAAAAAACGAAGCAACTTTAACAACTTACATTGACAGAAATAAGGTAAAGAAATAACTATTAAGCTTTTTTTTTTTTTTTTTTTTTTTTTGGTAAATTTTGATACCCTTTAGGTCATAAATACTTCATTATTTCATATTTTTAATTTTATAATTTCTACATGCCATCTTACTAGATTTAAACTGATGATCTAATATCCGGAAAAATCCCAAATCCGGAATCGCCGAAGTCCCGAGGAGTTCGGATTTTGGACTTTGTACTGTATTATTTGTATGTTATTGGTAAGTGATGACTACGAGATCAGCTAAACATTGTTTATTCTACCGTGTTAACTATGTTCTATATTGCAGCTATGGTTATTCTATATTATGTGCAATTACAGTTACATATGTGACATCTCCCTTTTTAACAGAAATAAAAAGATTATACATACTCTTTAAATAAAAAGGTTTTTTAACAGTCCTACCAGATCAAGTAACATGGATTATGTCCATTTGCAAAATTTGGTGAGACAATACCTCTTTCAGAATTTGGGGGTGCATCACTTTTGTTAGGGGCAGGGAAATCCACGGCCCTTCTAAATTTGGAGTACTCCTACTAATCTCAGGTTCATTTACATTTTCATCTTTGCAACTTTCATTTTCATAATTGTTTTGCACTGAAAAATCTTCGAAATTACTACCTTTGAGAATGTCTCTTCTGCTTCTTTCTATGCATCAACACTGAAGACAATTAATTTCAGCTGAAATAGGAGAATTAGGATATTCCAGTAATACTAAGAATGGATCCCTTTTATCAAATACATCTTTTTCTAATATTCACTTGACAGTTTGAATGTGTGTTTCAACCATTCCATTTGATTGTGGGTAATTTGGACTTGAAGTTCTGGTTTCAAAATTCCATCTCCTTGCAAATTCTTTAAATTTCTTGCAACTATATTGTAGACCATTATCTGAATATACTATTTTCGGGATACCATACCTTGCAAAAGAACGATTTCAGTTCTTTTATCACTGCTGCACTTGACAAATCTTCCAAATATGCAATTTCAACATATTTGCTAAAATATTCTGTAACTATTAGATAATATAAAAGAGTATTGGGTACTTTCCAAGGACCATTAGGTATGTCTGTAGATATCATTGTTTCTTTACTATTAGCTTTTTGCAAACTCAAACATGTTAGACAATTCAGAGCCAAATCTTCAATTTCTTTTAACATTCTTGACCAATACTATATTTTCTGCATCTTTCTTGTATTTTTCTGCTCCTAAATGACCATAATGAATTCTAATTAGCATATCTTTTCATAAACGTCTAGGTACAACAACACAGGAATTCTTAAATATTAATCTATTTGTTTCTGATAGTTCTCTGAAGTTAAAATATAGTTTTGCCAGTTTTGGAACCATATATTCTTTTATCTCGCTATCCAGTTTTGATTAACTTTCTTAAAATTTGTAGTTCTTTTTCTGTTTTCAGTTAAAATATTTTTCATTTTGTCTTACCAGCGGCCAAGCGGTGAAGTCACGGAACACTGGTAATTCGGTTCAAGGTTTCAATCCGCCGGTGGGCAGGCTGCATGAGTGTTTTATGGTTTTCGCCATGTGTAACATGTATATGAGCCAGTTTCCCTTAAAAGGTTCTCCACGAAGGAGTCCCTCCCTTTACACAGATAGCCCTCGATTGCTTTGCCGCAATTAAATAAACCGAACATCCATTTTTGTCTTTAGACATTGGTATATTTTCTGCAACCCTTCCAGCATGGGCTTCTATGTTTCCTTGAAAGAAATCAGATACTTTATCAGTAAATGATCTTGATAAGGCATCTGCTATAAAAAGTTCTTTTCCTGCTTTTATCTCAAATTAATGTAGCTGTAATCTTATACGCATTCTTTGTAATCTAACCGGATATTTATTTAATAGTTTCTTGAAAATTGATTCCAACGGTTTATAGTCACTTTCACCTGTAATACATTTTCCAAATATACACTGGGGAAATTTCTCACATGCAAATATAATAGCTAAAGTTTCCTTTTCAATTTGAGCATAATTTTTCTGTGTATCTGTTAATACTTTAGATCAGTGCTTCCCAACGGGGGCCCACGCCCCAGAGGGGGCCAGTTAGATTGTTAAAGGGGCAATTCAAAAATGGACTCGTCCAGAGTTTAAGGGGAAAAGGGATGGCGAAATTTCCAAATTTTGTTCAAGAGGTTGAAATTTTTCGAAATTTCATTTTTTTTATTCCCAAAAATAGAGAATAATGTAATGTAAACATAAAAAAGTTTTTAAAGTGTGGTGCAATTTGAATATTTTATGAAGGATTTTCACTGTTGACATGGACATTTAAATGCTTAGAATTTTCTTCCTAAAAGCTATCTAATTTCCTTTCGTGAACATTTCAATTTTTGAATATTAAAAATGATGTATTTGCTAAGGGGAGGATAAGAATTTTAGAGAGGATTAGATGGGGCATAGCACAAATAAGGTTGGAAAACACTGGCCTTGATACATATGGCACTGGTAAATTATTCTGCAGTAAAATAGCCCCTAGTTCTTCTTGAGATACATCTGCAGATAACACTACTCGCATGTTTATTTCATATACTGTAAAATTGGTGTGTTTACTAAGGCATCTTTTTAGTCTTCTAAATGCTTTTTCATGTACTGCATTTGAGTTCAAGAAAACCTGTTTTTTCAACAGATATGTTAACCATAATGTCAATTCTGATACATTATACATTATATATAAATCTAGAAATGTAAATAATCATTCATAAGAAGGTTTTTAATTTCTTGACTTTTTTTGGTGGTTTTATATCTAGAATAGCCTTAATGGTGTATTCATCTGGTTTCAAACCTTTTTTAGAAAATATATATCCCATATATTTGACTTCATTCAACCCAATTTTACATTTATTTAAATTAAACATTCTTTCTCTGGCTCTTCCCAGTACTTCTTTAACCTTAAATCATGTTCCTTTTTTATCTTTCCCTGAAACTAATAAGTCATTTATATGTATTTGAACTCCTGTATGACTAAAAATTTCAGAAAAACTTCTGGTGATGAATGCAGTCCATATGGCAGTCTTAAAAAACAGTATCTGTCTAATGGAGTATTAAATGTAGTAAGTTCGCAACATGAATCTAAGACTTTAATTTGCCAAAAT